GAAAATATGATTGTTTGAATCATTACTAGTCATCTAATTAAATCTATGTATATAAAACTATTATCATTGCTTCTGTATTATTGTACAGGGTGGGTCAAATTCGACGCTTTTAAATGGAAACACCCTTTTCTATAGGAAATAGACAAAACTAATATCGGTGTCTGGAGCTTAATTTTGCCAAAAACATGATAGTGAAAACCGCATATCGGTATCTGTTACCGTTTCAGAGTTACGGGGTGTTTATCAAAAATATGCATTTTTAACAAATCGCTGTAACTTTTTTGCTATGGAAAATTTTGAATTTTATGAAAACTTTTCCAAAACACCTTTTACGTAGAATTTAATGGTTTAAGTATAATTTTTTAAAATTAATAATTTAAGAATTATCAACATAATATTTGATTTCTTATATGGGACACCCTGTATATTTTAATTTATTGAAAAGAATTTAAAATTACCTTTCCAAAAGTATAACATGCTTGATATTTTGCTCGATTCCTCTTCGAGATATAGAGTATATAAAAATTCGCCCGCTTTAAATAAGTAGGCTTTGAACGGCACCGGCTGTAATGCAAAAAAAATTCTAGCTGTGAGCATCAATTAAAACGAAAATAATATTTGCTATGAGAGATGCAGAATTTTATAACAATTTAAAATATATTTAACCAACATCAACACATTTAAACTATATCTAATAACAATACAAATAAATAGCAAACCAAGACATGAGATTTTGCTACAGGTGTTCGACATATCGACCGTCTGCTGTTATGGACCGACGCGACGGGGCCGTTTTTGAACATTTCTCGCGGAATTCATTAACTCAGTTGGGGTGAAAGATACCCTCTCATAACTGCTAAGTATTTCTAATTCTTGTCTAGAATATTTTTCTAATTCTTGCGGAAGAATAAGCAACCTTTATTCTTCCGCAAATATATCCATAGGATTAGATCCATGGGCACTAAGTCAGGCGTCCTCGACGGCCAACGGCTGGGATCTTGGTTAGCTATTCAATTATTCTTGAAATTGGCTGCAAAAATTTGCTGATAACTTCAGCGTCCTGAGGCGGTGCGTTGTCTTGCTGGAAAACTATGTTTTCGAATTCCATTAAGAGTATATCATCAATAAAGGGTCCTAAGCCTACTAGTTAAAAGTGGCGAACTTTTAAATATTCTATATTTTGAAGGGAGTTATAACAAAATATCAAGTGTGCTATATTTTTGGAAAGGTAATTTTAAATTCTTTTCAGTTAATTAAAAATATAGAGGGTGTCCCAAATAAAAAATCAAATTTACTGTTGATTACTCTTAAATTATTAATTTTAAAAAAATTATACTTAAACCATTAAATTCTACATAAAAAGGTGCTTTGGAAATGTTTTCATAAAAATACAAAATTTTCCATAGCAAAAAAGTTACAGCGACTTGTTAAAAATGCACATTTTTGAAAAACACCCCGTAACTCCGAAACGGTAACAGATATTGATGTGCGGTTTTCACAATCATGTTTTTAATGAAAATTGAGCTCCAGATACCGATATTAGTTTTCGTCTATCTCCTATAGAAAAGGGTGTTTCCATTTAAAAGCGTCGAATTTGACCCACCCTGTACAGGGTGTCCCACTAAGAATAGCTCTCGGTTGTATCTCGTAACGTCAAATTGTTATTATACAGAGTTCACAACATTTTGATAGTCTTAGCAGCGTTTTTATCTTTTGATTGCTTTTGCATGCCAACAACTTCAACTACTTCAAATAATAAAGGCATTTTGAAAAAGCAATTAAAAGATAAAAAAACGCTGCTAAAACTGAAAAAGAAAAATGTTGATTTAATTACAATTTGACGTTTATACTATTACGCGAAAAGCAACTTTTTTCCAAAGCCTACCATGACTTCACTGAATCATCGTTTCTTGTTCACTGTTATTAATATCTTAATTATTACATATTAATACTTCTGATATTATGGTATTCTGGTATTTCGTCGATTTTAAAATTTTAAACTAACTGTTTCTATCTTATTTTTTGTTAGAATGGGCATAATCAAGAGGGCTACTGATACCGTACTGTAACAATAAGGTAATTAAGGGCTTATTTTTTGGTATTTATTATAATTTTGCTAATATCTTTGGTTTGAAAGAAGATATCAAGATGCGGTTTGATTAATAACATGCATTTTACAAATCAAAAATTTGAAAAAAAAACGAATATTGTGAAATTGTTTTAATTTTTCCTGGATTTATTTGAAAATTCGCCATCTTATATAAAGGAAAATGTAACGATGATCAAATAGCTCTTATTCATATCTCAGTTACCGATATATGGGTAGACATCCCCAAATTTCGGACAGCCTGTATAGTGCAAACTGTTAGCATTTATTTAATGGCATCTTTATCAAATGTCACAATTGTTGATATAAAATATTCCTTTTAAAATGCCGAACTCACTGTATTTGAATAAAATATAACACATTGTTGCAGTGGCAAAATACCCATATAGGATTTTTTAGGACATAGATATAGACATTTTTGAAAATATAACATACATATTGTTTAAAATAATGTTTAATTATGTTTATTCCATATTTGAACTACAAACTACCAACCCCATACCATTTTTTATTATTCTTATTTTCACTGGTGCCGGTGTAAGGCCAAGTAGTGACAAATCTGGCCAGTACGGAGGCTATAAAATCAATCAAAATCACTGACAGGGAATTCTACTGAGTAGGTTACAAAATGACTCACGCACTATACGTAATTTGAATTTTAATCAAAAAATATCTACCCACGTCCACTTTATATTTAATTATTTTCTTGTTTTTTTAAACAAGACACAGGATGTAGAAAAAGCTACACAAAGTACTTTTGATGCCGTTCATTCTAAAAACAAAGAGCAAATTAATTAAAATTTAAAAATACAAATGCAATTATCAATTGATTCCGGTTACTTATCCATATGCAAGGTCGAGCTACAGTGAAGACCTGAAACCAACGCTGCCACATTGTTTAAAAGTAATAAGAAAGGTTCTATAAATTTAATATAACAAGATATGATACAATATTTTATGTTGGTTATATACCGTATGATAGTAATTAAAAAAAAGGCGTCCAGTTGGCTTGGAAATGACGATCGATGACATTTCCCATATAATTTTACATATAAAATGACAGCGATCTTCATTTCATAGCCATTGCTGACGCCGTTTTTATTCGATCATACGGTATTAATTGGCCTAGGATAATAAGTAAAAAAGTTCATATAAATGTGTCCTGAAATGCTTAGTTTCGAAGATACAGGGTGTAGAAGTTTCATTTTTATTTCGATTTTTTCCAAATAATTTCTAAAGTAACGTCAATATTTGGATCAAAATTGGTATCTAGGAGTTTTTTGATATGAGAAATTTGATTTTGATGCCAATATGACTCCTACTAGTAGAGGGCACCACCTACATGTTTTTTAACTGGTTTGAAGTGTAATAAATTTTGTTCGTACCTGTATAAAAACTACAGAGCAAAAAATATACATCTCTGTGTCTTTTTACGTAAAAAAAAGTTATTACTCTTCAAAACAGTTAAAACACATGTAGGTGGCGTCCTCTACAAATAGGAGTCATACTGACATCAAAATCAAATTTATCATATCAAAAAACTGCCAGACACCAATTTTTATTCAAATATTGACGTTACTTCAGAAATGATTTGGAAAAAATCGTAATAAAAATTAAACTTCTACACCCTGTATTTCCGAGACTAACCATTTTTAATAAGAACTTTTTTACTTATTTTTATCTGTTGAATATGCTGCCGAAGTTTCCGAAATACAGTTCGGACCACCCTGTCTAATACACACGTGTTTAAGAAGGTAAAACTCGAATAAACTCATAAACAAGCAAAGAAGACCAGCTGGTAGTGAATAAGCTGTGATGATGATTTAGCTGCTAATTCGGTACCGGCCGTCCAGCTTCTGGCCTTTTACATTAAAATTTACAATTAGAAGAGACTAAGACTATCTTATTTTCATAAGCTCTATGCTCTTTAATACTATTTATGAGCTCTAGAGACATCGTTTTAATCCTCTACTCAGCAATGCATCTACAAATGCAAAGCTACAAACACTACTATCGACCGATTTTCCTCCAAAAGGGCAATTGGGAACTAATGGTTTTGATGTTGTATAGGACCGACAATGTCAATGAGGACCGTCTCGTATCATCAAATAAGATCTTTCAGATTGTTTTTATACCGTCCTCATCTTGTAGTACCCCTGACCCTAGAGTATCGATGGAAACAATTGGAATGCAGTAAGGAAAGACGAGAATGGAACAGATTTTGCTTAGACATGCAGGTTGCTTTTACATAAATCAAAGAAAAACTTTGATTTTTCTCGGTCGTAAGTCCTGAGAAATTTCTTCGAGTGTCTTAGACCGTTGGAAAATTCCCATTCCAAGCTAGAAATGAGTTCTGCTTTACTTTGGTTTTCACTTGGGAAGCAGAACGGCTCTGGTCCAGTTAATGGAGTGTTCACTTCTTCCTTAGCTATATCGTTTGCTTTTTTAATACCTTCTATCCATTTGTGGACTGGCATTCAGAATAGGAGGACTTTATTTTCTTTCCATAATTTGTTCAGTTTCCCTAGGCATTTTTTGATCAACTTCGAAGTGACGGTTACTGAGTTGATCGCTCTTAAGGCTGCTTGACCATCGGATAAGAATACTATTTCTTGTTTCCGATAGTTCCTACTTAAGATAAGTTGTAGGCATCTTTAGATAGCGTAAATTTCTGCCTGAAGGACGCCGAAGTAGGTGCTCATTGATTCGGTGTATTTAGTTTTCGGCCCAAATACTCCTATCACTAAATAACCATCCCTGGTACTACTATACATTTCCTGCTACCGCAAGTCGACGGTACAATAAAACCGGCAACGCCAGTTCCGTGGCCTTGAATCGACGTTGCCCCTTCCTGCAGGCCAATCATGACCAGCTGAGAGACTCAAGAAGCGAATCTCGATTGTTTTTGTTGGCTGTTCCTGCTACGAGCGCGGCACCGTTTTTAAGTAGGCTGTGTGTGGTGCGGTTTCACGTCGTGATCCGGTACCGATTTTCGTTCTCACGTCAAACTTTTTCAGGCAGTACTACCTCCGGTACAACTCGGTTTTTAGTGTGTTTAATATCTAGAAACTTTTCCTAAGTGTAGTACGGTGTATTAAAAGTTGTTTACATTGTCGTTTCCTGTTTGACTGACGCGGTAATAACAATTTTTAGTGCATGGTCGTTAAACTGGATTATTTCAGGAAAAAATGCAGTGAGCTTGGATGATTTTTATTAATTTTGGATAGAGGTTAGTTTTGTTTCAATAAAAATATGATTACATTCAAATAATACCTACCATAAATAAATAAATTAATTAATAATAATTTATTAAATACCATTGGAGATTAAGTAGAAAGAAATGTGTATTTCTTTCTATTTCTATTTCTCAAATTGCTTCCAGTGTGTACTGGAAGCAATTTGAAAAAAAAATCTAGTTCTCGTACTTCCTCTCCAATCCTTTATGTTTCTTATCCACGACATCGGTCTTGTGCTCGGCCTCTCTTCCCTACAATTTTACCTTTGGTGATAAGATGTAGTAGATGGTATTTGTCGTTCCTGAAAATATGTCCAAAATATGCGGATTTCCTACTCTTTATTATCATTGGTTCATGCATTGTAATACGGAGTCATTTAACTTGTCTTCGTCAAAGGTATCTTTAGCATCCGCCAATATAACCATAATTCAAAGGCTTCAATCTTCCTCATTGTAGTCACATCAAGACTTCATTCTTTTCCATTTACCGAAGAAACGATTTTTCAACATCTTCACACAGGAAATTAGTGAGCAACACAGTATTCAAATAATCTTCTCTACGAGCCCTAACAACTATATGTTGGGAAAAGGTCATTTTTTGCAATAAAAATAGTAATTTGTTAAAACGACTCAATTTATTTTGTTTATTATTCTAAATTCAAACATTACAATATGATATAGACAATTTTACTATATTTTTATAACTTTGCAAACAAATCGCTTTTGATAATAGCTTATTTTGCCAAAATCAAACCAAATTTGCTGACAACTATATATTGGGACAGCACAACAAGAAATTTGTTTAATACGGAGTTACATCACCTTTTTGCCTTAACAACTGCCTGAACTCTTAATGGCATTGTATTTACCAAAGATTGGATTGAGGAGAAAAATTATCCCAAATTTCCTGGAGTTTTATCTGCAAATCAAAAATTGTTCGTTGAGGATGGTTTCTTAAATATTGCTTCATTTTATACCACACAGTTTCTATAACATTGAGGTCCGGACTACTTGCAGGATAGGATAGAACTTTTATATTATTATTACCGAACCAATTTTTAGTTGATTTTGCTGAATGGCACGATGCTCCATCTTGTTGAAAAATATAGTCTTCGTTCGGAAACAATTCTTGAGCACTAGGCAAAAGTGAGGTCTCAAGTATATATTGATATTTTTGGGCGTTAACAGTGCCACCTATAAAATTTAATTTGCTCAAACCTCTTGCTGACATGCAAGAGGTTACCAAACCATAATCCCCTTAGGAAATTTAACAACCCTCTTTAAGCAATCTTTATGAAAGGCTTCTGCTTTATTTCGTATTATTCTTTTTCGATGATCTCCAACGCAAACATCAAATTTAGACTCATCGCTAAATATGACTTTATTCCAATCATTTTGTGTCCACGATAATTTAGATTTTGCCCAATTGTAGCGATTTTTCTTTTGAATTTCTGTCAGTAGCCGTTTTTCTTTGGCCTAAATAAGAATTTGTATCAATAATCTTCAGGTAATTGATTATCCACACAAAATAAAGTTTACCTTGTAAAACCCCAGACCGCATTTATGGATATATTTTCGGCAACATTCTCTTGATATATTTAATCCAGTTACAGTATTCCATTTACTTTTACTTCGCGAAGAGTACTTCTTCTCACAGATTTGCAAATTTTTACTAAATTTCGTAAATCTCTCTGAGATAACTTTGGCCTTCCCGAACTTCCTGAACTTTTGGCCTTACCGAACTTTTACCTCCAACGCCTACACTGTCAGATTCGCCGTATTTTTTTATTATATTAAAGACCATGGTTTTTGGAATACTTAAATCATCAGAAATTTTTCGAATTGTTTTTCCCGTACTGTATTAACGAATGATCATTTCGCGTAGTTTTTGATTTGTAGCTTTTCCACGGACCATTACTTTGGATTAAATTAACAAAATTGAAAATTAAAAAAATTTAAATTACTTACAGTAAGTCTCACTACTCAAAGTATTTGAGTCACTTACAAGCTGTCAATGCTGAAATAAACAGTTTGCGACATTTGTGACGTTTATAGCAAAACCGCCTATGATATTAATTATTTAAAAATACTTGTCCCAACATTTAGTTGTCAGGCAAATTTGTCCTTTTATGAACAAAATCCGCTACTGTAAATATGGATTGATTTACAAATTCATAAAAATATTGTCAAGTTGTTTAGGATATATGGCTATGTTTATATTTAAAAAATTAAACATATATTTTTCAGTCATTTTGAAAAACCAGGGCAATAATTCCAAAATATGACCTTGTCCCAACATATAGTTGTTAGGGCTCGTATATGTGGCCTAGCTATAAGTCTATTAAAGTAAACTCTTCAAAAATAACAGCAAAACTCGAAAATTTAAGTTTTCTGTCATATTTCCCACAATACTATTGATAAGTTCAATCATTAAATAGCTTATTATAGGGCTCATTGAAATGCAACTTTAGTATGCTCTAATTTGAGCTCTCCTCTATGGAAGCCTTCCTATCTGCGCAAGACAGATCTTAACGTTTTGCGACTTCGTCTTCCAAAAGATGAGACTGGAATTTGAAACACTTAGTATACAATTCTTCCTGTTCCATGATTCTTCTTCTTAAAAATATCACATAAGATGTAAATTGGTAAAATAAATTGGGTCCCAATTGTAATCAAAATGCTCAGAAACATTATTGAAATAAGAGGAATGGAAAGAGTGCTTTTGGGAGACAATAATGCAATTTTATTGTCGTGTATAAAACAATATTTTTTTTCCATAGCGAGTTATGTTTTCAAAAATATTGAGAAATTATTATTTCAAGAAATTTATTACAAGTAGAAAAAATATTGTGCTGGGTGGGCGTTGGTTTCTATGTAATTTGACAAATAAATAAAGCTGTCTATTTAGTTGTCAGTTTTGAGTCAACATTTTTTAATTCTCTTTCGTGTCGATTGCTGATTGAATTGGAGCCCGAAATAACTCTAAACGAAATAAGTAAATTACCAACAGATATTCAGGCTGAGGCGACACACGCCATATCCAAACTACTTCCATTTAAATCCCGAATAACTTATGAAAAGGAATACAAAAATGTTCAAAAATAGAAGCAATAAAAAAACGTGCGAGAAGAAATAAAATGTTTTATCAGATTAGTTACAATTTAAGATCAAGGTATAAAATTGCAATGCTTTCCAACAGAATTGGAACGGACTGAAAGTTCTCTGTCTTTTTATACTAAAAATTGAGAAGAAAGTAAGATATTCTTCGATATGAAGAGAGAGGTTACAGATGTTACAGAGAAGATTATTACAAACGAGGATATTTAGAAAAAATGCTCCTAAAGAGGTAGAAGCACTCATAAGAACAACATCTATAATAAAAGTATGAAAAAAAAAACGAATTTATTCAAATCAAAGTGATAGGTTTTAGAACTAAACCAACATTCATTTTGTTTGGTTTTTGTTACGACATTACTATTTCTTGAAAAACAATTTTTGATTGATCGGAATGTTTTCAGTTCGTTATTATTGTAATTGCTTGTTTTAAAATTGTAATTAATTTCATGGTTTTTCCGAATTAAATCAATTACAAAAAATTAATTAAGGTTTTGTTTGTTTTTAAAGGCAATAAAATAAATAATTAAACAATAGTTTTTGGAGTTTGTACTAGCTAATAATGTTAAGTATTACTGAAATATTCTGAGAATAATTGCAGTTAAATTTTTCATATTCAATTAAAGTATCGTAAACCTCTACCGATTTGGTCTTTATTACCTATAAGTAAGTATTATAATTAATAAATAAAGAGTGTGTCAAAAAATAGTTAATTTTCAAACTTTATGGTCTTTTACAACATGTCAAACGGGCTTGAAACTATTATTTTTGCTTTTCCTAAACAATTACAAAACAATAGACAGACATCTTCGATTAATTTAATGATTGGCAGTTGAATAGAGACTTAGATTTTGCCGAAGACATGAATGATGTGTATCATTGAGTTTTTGAGAATATTTTATAGCATCTATTCATATTGTGACATATTTGACATAATGTGTAAAATTAAATTATAAAACCAAAAGACTATACAAAATGTATTTGGTAATGAACAAAGATAAAATTATACTATATGTTGCAACAATTAAATTAGTTATATCATAGCCGTTAATTACCAAATGAATAATTAAAAAATATAATAGTAATTAAGGCATTTTAGATGTTTAAACCGCTCTATTAATTTTAACATATTGCATCAAAATCAAATTTCTCATGTCAAAAAACTCCCACACACCAATTTTCATCCAAATATTGACGTTACTTCAGGAATTATTTGGAAAAAATCGAAATAAAAATGAAACATCTACACTCTGTCCTTTTTTGCGTTAGCCGCACCAAATAAACAAGTCTTGGGCAATCTGTCGGCAACACATTGATCTCATCTATTTATTTTTCATTTTATGGAAAGCACTGTTCATTAAAATGTTGTATCCTATGTAATAGGGCTTGTGTCTCTCTATAATTTCCTGTCTCACAATGTACCGTTTGTGTCGGGGAAGGGATCATATTAGTTTCATAGTTGTCGATTTTCGAAAGAAACCAGTACATGTATATTATTTCGTATATTTTTCATTTTATTGATTTTATGGAAAGCACGGTTCATTAAAATGTGGTATCCTATGTTATAAGACTTGTTTCTCTCTACAATTTCCTGTCTCGCAATGTACCGTTTGTGTCCGGGAAGGGATCATAGTTTCATAGTTGTCGATTTTCGAAAGAAATCAGTACATATATATTATTTCGTATATTTTTCATTCTATTGATTTTATGGAAAGCACTGTTCATTAAAATGTTGTATCCTATGTAATAGGGCTTGTGTCTCTCTATAATTTCCTGTCTCACAATGTACCGTTTGTGTCGGGGAAGGGATCATATTAGTTTCATAGTTGTCGATTTTCGAAAGAAACCAGTACATGTATATTATTTCGTATATTTTTCAT